AAAATTATAAAATGCTGATGAAAGAAATTGAAGAGGGCACAAAAAATGGGGAAACATCCCTTATTTATGGATTGGAAAAATTAATATTGTGAAATTGACCATAGTACCAAAAGCGATCTACAGGTTGAATGCACTCCCTATAAAAATACCAATGACTTTCTTCACAGAAATAGAAAAAACAATCCCCAAGTTCTTATGGAACCACAAAAGACACTGAATAGCTAAAGCAATCATGAGCAAAAAATAATAAATAAACAAAGCTGGAGGCATCACGCTGCTTCAAAATATATTACAAAGCTTTAGTAACCAAAACAGTGTGATACTGGCATAAACACAGACACAGAGACCAATGGAATAGAATAGAGAATGCAGAAATAAATCCATGTGTTTATAGCCAGCTTATTTTTGACCAAGGCATCAAGAACATATGATGGGGAAAGCACAGTCCCCTGAATAAATGATGCTGGGAAAACTGGACATCCGTATGCAGAAGAATGAAACTAGATCTCTATCTCTATTATCTACAAAAATCAACTCAAAATATATTAAAGACTTAAATGTAAGACCTGAATCTGTGAAACTAGTAGAAGAAAACATGAGGGAAATGCTTCAAGGTATTGATCTGAGCAAAGATTTTTTTGGGTAAGACCATAAAAGCACAGGCAACAAAAGCACAAATAGACAAAGGAGATTATGTCAAACTTAAAAACTTCTGCACAGCAAAAGAAACAATCAACAGAGTGAAGAGACAGCCTGCAGAATGGGAGAGAATGTTTTCAAGCTATTCGTGTGCCAAGAGATTTATATCCAGACTATACAAGGAACTCAACAGCAAGAAACAAATAATCTCATTTTAAAATTGGCAGGTGATATGAATAGACATTTCTCAAAAGAAGACATCCAAATGGCCAATAGGTATATGAAAAAATGCACATCGTCACTAATCACCAGGCAAATGCAAATCGAAACCACACAGATATCATGGCACCCTAGTTAGAGCGGCTGTTATCAAAAAGACAAAAAATAAATGCTGGCAAGGATGTGGAGAAAAGGGAACCCTTCTCCACTGTTGGTGGGAATGTAAATTAGTAAAGCTGTTATGGAAAACAGTATGGAGATTCCTTAAAGAAAACAGAGCTACCATATGATCCAGCAATCCCACTCCTGGGTTTCTATCCAAAGAAAAGGAAATTGATATGTCAAAGAGGTGTCTGCATTCCTGTGCTTACTGCAGTGCTATTCACAATAGTCAAGATACGGAATCAACCTAAGTGTCCATCAGCAGATGAAGGGATGAAGAAAGTGTGGTATGTATACATAAAGGAATGCTATTCAGCCATTAAAAAAAAGAATTAAGTCCCATCATTCATGGAAACACGGATGAGCGTGAAGGATGTCATGTTAAGCGAAAAGGCGCAAAAAGATAAATACCACGTGTTCTCGTGTCAAAGCTGAAAACGTCGATCTCATAGAAGTTGAGAGTAGAATAGTCAGTAGGGGCTGGGGAAGGTAGAGGAATGGGGTTAGGGAGAGGTTGGTTAACGGATACAAAATTACAGCTGGACAGGAAGAATAAGTTCTAGTGTTGTACAGCACTGTACGATGACTATAGTAACAATAATTTATTGTATATTTTCAAATAGCCATAAGAGAGGATTTTGAATGTTTCCAACACAAAGAAATGACAAATGTTCAATGTGAAGGATATGCTAATTACCCTCATTTGGTCATTACACATTGTATGCGTGCATCAAAATATCACACTTTTCCCTATAAATATGTACAGTTATTATGTATCAACTAGAAATAATAATAAAAACATATTTTTAAGTTAAAAAAAACAACAATCTCTTGGAGGGCTTGTTAAAACATGGATTCCTAGCCCACACCGCAATGAGTCTGATGCAGGTGGTCCGAGGTGGGGCCTGGGAATTTTCGTTTCTGACACGTTCCCAGATATTGCCGATGCGGACAGCCCTAGGACCACACTTTGAGTGGAACTTCGTGAGACAGTGCCTGCTCTGGATTCAAGGGAAAGACTAACGGTTTGAAATTCCCCTCTATAAACATTTCTTGAATTTTCCTTAATGTTTAAAACTCTCAAAAATTAGGCATCGTCTGCTCATTCCTGTTTTTTTTTCTTTTTTGAGGCAAGCAAGGGGTAGTTCATCAAAATGCAATTTTTTAAAAATAGGTCCAAAAATCTTCAAGAGTTTTATGCTTTCTAATCTTTTCCTTGTAAAAATAAGAGGCCTCATTATGCCAAGCAAATTAATTTAAAGGGCTCAAGTCTGTGTGCTGTTTAAGAATGAGGAAACTCAGACAAGTCAAAAGGCTTCTATATTTGGCAAAATTTATTTCTCCGTTGTCAAGTGTTATAACATTTTCTCTGGGTTCCTTAACCAGAGTTTGGTTTAGGAAAAGATGATGCTATGAGTAACATTCTAGAGAAACAGGAACTTCCTGAGCTTGGCAGTGCAGTGAGTTCTGGAGTCACTCACAGCAACCCTGGTCTGGTTGGGGGAAAGCCAAGCTCGTGCATAGACGCCAGCCCAGTGGTCTTTGGGAGCCTTGAGTGTTATGGACACTTTCAGATGAGGGAGGAATTGGCCAGATAAGCGCGTGATCCTGCCCGCATGGCCCAGCCCCCAGGAATCGCCCACTGTGCCCCGGCTGCAATTACCCACCTTATTCGTCTAGACAGCCTTTACCTTATTCAAGCAGCTGGCTCATTGGTCTGCATGTGGCCCTGTGGCCCAATGTTGAATAGCCAGCCATAAGGGTTGGGATGAAACTGCCTTAGAGATCCCAGGGCATCTTTGAACCTTACGGGACTGTTAAACGTTGCCACTGGCTTCAGCACGGATGAGGCGATGACACACATACACGCAAAACTCACAAGGCATGTCCAGCACCGAAACGCCACCCCCAGTGTGGTAGGTGAATGTGGCCTGAGCGGCAGCGCACAGTGGCCGTTGTTGGAATAGCTGGGGCAGCACGAAAGGCACCCAGTCTCAGGGTTGTTAAAAATCAGATCTTGAGTTTATTCCATCCATGGTTTGACTCTTCCTTTCACGGCAATTCCTAGCCATTTGACAGAGTGGATCAAAGCAAGGGCTTTCGGTGTTTGGCCCACGGCAGAGATGAATTTGAAGCTTGTGGGGCTTCAGTGGGCAAACCCAGACTTCCAGATTCAAAAGGGACTTGCCTGTTCCAGGCATCAGAGAATCTTTCGCTGCTCACTGCAGATACAAATGCCTTCCAGCCCTTCACAAAGAGGGCAGGTGGTAGGGCTCATTTTGTTTCCAAGAGCCCATGAGCATGTGTGGAGCGTGTTCCAGAGCTGGAGGCCGTGGCTGCGTTGGGATGTGGCGGCAGACTAGGCTCAGAAGACATCTTTCCAGGAGGTCTTCTGTGACGTCCCTCTATTTGGTGCCCCACTCTTCGTTGCCATAAGCTCCTACGCTCTGCACTTGGGCTACTTCTTCTAGAATATAAGTGTAAAGACAGGGTTTGCGTCTTATCCCTTTACCCCCAACATAAAGTCCACACAGTGAGCACACAGTGACCTCTGCTGATGAATGTGTGGCTCTGGATGGAGGGGTGGAGTCTGTCCTTCTCAGCCAGTAGTCATTCAGTCCCCAGTGCTGTACCAAGGGGCCAATGAAGGGGACAGGCCCCGGAGAGGCTGGGCAATGTGAGCAAGTCTCCATTTACAGAAACGGGGCCCTGAGTTCTTCAAGGCTGAGCTCAAACGCCATGGTTGAGTCTTTTACCACACCTGCTGTGGGGTCATCCAAGGTGAAGGACGTGCATATATGCGGGGCTGGGCCCCTGTTATAGGACTGTGTCATAAGGTCAGAGGGTGGGGCTACATCTGCTTACAGCCATTGAGCCTGTTGGTGGAGAGCCTGCCCCCACTGCGGGGAGGGGAGTGGAAGCTGGGGACCTCACAGGGACACACAAAGCCATGTGCAGAGAGCCTTGTTGCTGTTTCCATGGTGCTGTGTGATCTTGGGCAAGTCACACACCCACTCTGCACCTCGGTCTCTTCATCTGGCTATGCTGCGGCTGTGGTTAAATCACAAGGTTATTTGTGACACTCATGTAAAATATCTCCATGAAAATGCCAAAAAATGTATGTCTGCATCTCCATATATAAAGAAGATGTGCTCGGCCCTCCCTGGGGGCCTGCTCGGAGATGCCTCCTGCTCTCACTTTCCCTTGGACAGGGGTCCCTCCTGTGGCAGCCGCTCCTATCACCACGCATAGGTCCTCCCGGTGCCCTCTGCTGTGCCACCCGTGATACCAGCGCAGGTTAGCATTCCGACCTGTCTGCTGCTCTAGGAGGGGGCCCTACGGACACCTTCCTACACAGGGGTCTTCTCATTTCTTCCGGCAGGGTTCAAGGGCGAGAAGGACCACTGGCGGAGCCGGCGCACCATCTGCGTGAAAACCCACGAGAGTGGTAGGAGGGAGATCGAGATGTTCGACTCGGCCATCCTGCTGATCCGGAACCCGTACAGGTCCCTGGTAGCCGAATTCAACAGGAAATGTGCCGGGCACCTGGGCTACGCCGCTGACCGCAACTGGAAGAGCAAAGGTAAATGGGGCTGGGGCAGGGGGTGCTCGTCTGTGCAGGCAGGATGCCCGTTGGGATGCAGCATCAGTATGCGCAGGTCGACAACTCAAGCCCCATCTTCATGAGCACCTGCTGCTGCCGTGCCTGGGCTTGAGCTCACCTCCTCCCCATCTCCTCCATGCCTGCTCAGTCTGTGCATCGTGGTGTTGTACATAGATACCAGCTCGATGGCCAGGTACCTCTTCTTCTCCTCCACGAGTGGGATAATGGGGTGGTCTACACCCCTTTTCTATCCCTGCTCATACCCAGGAGCTCACATGGAGTTGGGGGAAGAGCACTGGTTTTGGATGCGCATAGACCTGGTTTTCACCCTCCTCTGCCTCCAGAACCAGGGTCCTCCTTTATCAAATGACACAGTAACCTGATGTCATGGGGCCTTCAAGGAGCAGTGGGATGACACGGGTGCCTCGCCTGGGGTCAGAACTCAGCATGTCAGTTCCCTCCTAAGCTACTTCTGCTGACTCCTCATGGTATCCCATAGGGGGAATCACATGAGCCCAGAGAGCATGGCTGCTGGACTGTCCAGGTGGCATAGGTGGTGGGTGGCAGAACTGGGACGCAAACCCGATGTCTCAGTCCGCTGGGGCTGCCATAGCAAAATATCAGCCTGGGGGGCTAAAGCAGCAGACATGTATTTCTCACAGTTCTGGGGGCTGGAAGTCCAAGGTCAGAGTGCCGGCTGGTCTGGTTTCCCGTGAGGGCCTGCTTCTTGGCTTACAGATAGCCGCCTTCTTGCTGTGTCGTCACGTGATGTGGAAGGCTCTGATGTTTCTTCTTACAAGGGCACTAATCCCATCACAAGGGCCCCACCCTCCTGACCTCATCTAACTCTACCTCCCAAAGGCCTCATCTCAAATGCCATCATATTGAGGGTAGGGCTCCAACATATAATTTTGTGGGAATACAACATTCAGTCCATAACACCCGAATTTTCTGATTCGGGGTCAGATTGGCTTGTTCCCCATTGCAACTTTACTCACAGAGTCAGTCCACCGACCCACACTTCCTGAAGTCCTACTGTGTGCCAGGTATGGGGCAAGACACCAGGGGCCCAGGCTACCAGGATCGAGTTCTCTGTCCTGGAGGCACACACAGTCTAGCCTTTGGGCGATGGATAATAGAGACGCGAGTCTGGGTGATGAGTGACTTGAAATTAAGTCACCCAGAAGTAAAGCTGTGACCGGGCAGGGTGCTGGTGAGAGGAGATGCTGAGGGCCTCCTGGCCAGGCAGGCCTGTGCTTCCGTCTGCTCATGTCTCTGGATCCACAGAAACCGACGGGTGGCCTCGCTGGCGTCTAGTACTTCCCTTCCCCCGTCACCCTCCTCCCAGACCAGCCCCCCTCGAAGTCAGGCAGGCTGAGCCCAAGCCCTCCCCTGCCTCTTCTAAGCTGTCTGCCCCACTACGGTGCAAACCTTGTCTTCAAAGACTCACTTTTCTCATCTTGAAAACAAGGACAGTCCCTGTCTCGTAGGGCCATTGTGAAGATGAGAGAAAGCAGCCCCTTTGCATCGTATCTGAGGTATATTAATAGCCCAACAATGGAAACTATTTTTGTAGGGATGATTTCGGACCTATGTACACCCACCGCCTCCAAAAAAAAATAATTTCCTAATTTTCTGGAAAAGAAATCTAGTGGAGTAGATCACCTGCAAAAGTCTGAGCCGCCCCTGTGTGTGGCTTCATCGTGTGTCCTACTGCGCAGCAGTTTCACGGGTCTGAACAGACAGTCAAACTCGCGGGGCCCCGTAAGCACCTAGCAAGCACCACGTTGACTTAGCTTTATAGGAGCCCCCCATGCCAGGCAATGGAGCCCCCACAGGGTCTTCGTCTCACCAGGAGGCCCAGCAGCCCACGAGGCACACACTGCGCGGTCACCAAAAGGGTCTTCAGGCCGGGGGATGGGGATTCCAGGCAGGTTGGCCCCAGGCGGTGCGCAGCGGAACCTCCCAGCTGGTTCCTTCTCCTGAGCAGGCTGACGGGCCCATCCCCTTACCCTGCGCCCCTTCTCTCCCCACCCCAGAGTGGCCGGACTTCGTCAACAGCTACTCCTCGTGGTGGTCCTCGCACGTGCTGGACTGGCTCAAGTACGGCAAGCGGCTGCTGGTGGTGCACTACGAGGAGCTGCGGCGCAGCCTGGTGCCCACGCTGCGCCAGATGGTGGCCTTCCTCAACGTGTCCGTGAGCGAGGAGCGGCTGCTCTGCGTGGAGAACAACAAGGAGGGCAGCTTCCGGCGGCGTGGCCGGCGCCCCCACGACCCCGAGCCCTTCACCCCAGAGATGAAGGACTTGATCAACGGCTACATCCGGACAGTGGACAAGGCCCTGCGTGACCACAACTGGACTGGGCTGCCCCGGGAGTACGTGCCCAGATGATAGGCCCCGCTCCGCGCTGCCCACCCCTGCCGAGAGGCGCAGAGTCACCACAGGGCTGCGCGCCCACTCCGATGTCCAGGCCTGTGGCCTCGCTGGGACGCACGGTCGGCAGGGAAGCCTCTGGGGACCTGGGCACAGACAGACGCACATCACGGCACAGACACGATGGACACACATTCCTAGCCAGACACCCACACCTCAGACACACTTAGACACCACTCCACGCTCACTATGCCAGGCGTTCCCGGATGCAGACGCAGCCACACACAGACGCCGACACTCAGACGCCAGGTATGCGCTGCCGGAGGCTGGCTGTCTCTCACACACAGACACACATGCACCTGGGCTCTCAGAGACCCCGGGTGCCTGTGTCCAGCCCTGGCATAGACTCGCTCTTCGGGGTCCTAGACTTTGGGGTGCTGGGCTGGGTGGGTGTTCCTGCTGTGAGCAGCAAGGACTGTCGGGGTAGAGGTGGGCGGAGACCGCTGCTGCTGCTGGGCTGTGTGGCCCTGACCACGTGTCTGACATCCCATAAATGTGTGTGGTGTGGCTTCCAGGCACCCCAAAATCGCCAGCCCTGCCTCTCTTCTTCTCTGTGGGTGGGCTGGCTGCACCCTGGGCAGAGCTCCCACCCCAATACACACACCGACCTCAGGACCAGCCACGTCACGTCTGTGCGCCGCCTGCCTCCCCTCTGACTCATCCTACATCAGAGCTCCTCGGCGTGGGACCTCCTGGCCCGGCTTCTCCCTCCAACTGTCCCCCGGGAAGCTGGGGATTCGTGCCATGCCCCAGAAGCACGGTGTGAGGATGGTTAGGGGAGGTTTCCAGGGCAGCCTGGGACCCCAAGGGGTCCATATGCCAGCAGGAGGAGGGTTGGGGGCCAGCGTGGGAAGACTCTGTGGGGTGTCTTGGGCATCACTGGGGCTGGTACCCCCCAACGTTGACAGGCCCCTGCTGTCTATGGGTCCCATGCTGGGGTCATGAGACCTACATGGTGATGCTGATGCTACTGACCTTCTTTGGTCTCCCTCTGCTACACATCAAGGGCTCAGAAATAAGGCCGTGGAGGCCGAGAGGCTCAGGTGTGGAGGGCAGGGGTGCAGAGGCTCAGGGTGGCGAGGACACCGGGAGGACTGGGGGAACGGTCAAGCTCACACTGACCCCTGCTGGGGTGAAGGTGGGTGGGCCTGAACTTAGGCGGCCTTTCTGTGGCTTCTCTAGGCCTGGGCTAACCCTGGCCAGACCCCTTGGTCCCCCTCTGGGATGGCAGTCCGGGAGACCTCCCCTCAGTCTGAGCCAAGCTGCATCAGGAGAAAACAGAACAAGGGATCAGGGAGAGCTGGGCATCAAAATGCCCTGACCCTCTGCCCCCTGGCAGGGCGATGGGGAGCTGAGAGCCACCTGTGAGCACAGGCAGGGGCGGAGGGCCGCAGGGAGCTGCCCTTCCTCAGAGTGGCAGTTTGGCCTCTGGGTGGGTTTGGGCAGCTGTGCTCCAGGTGGCCTCCAGGTCCTTCCTGGGAGTCCCCCAAACCCACACTGAGGCGAGGCTGCTCTCGACCTTCCCACAGCATCACTCATTTCACCTTGAAGCAGAAACGCCAGGCTTTTGTAAACATTCATTGGCTCAGGATGGCTGCAGGGTCCCATGTGTGAAGGCCCCTGGCGAGGCTTTCTCCTGAGTTGTGGAAGCAGTTGAGAGCCACCGGGAGCTTCCACACTGCCGTGCAAGGGGGGCCAGGGCAGACATGCATCCCAGAGCAAACCCAGAGTCCCAAAAGAGACGGCAGGCACCGGACCGAAGGAGAATGGGGAAGCCAGACTCGTCCCGTGATTGGCTCCCCAGCTCTGGTCCTTGCTCTGCTAGGGCCATCCAGATGGGCTTCACGGGAGAAGACTCAGAAACCATGGAGAGACGACTGACTTGCACTGGAGCCAGGGCATGACTCCTGGGCTTCCCTTACCACTCCCCAGGGGTCTGGGGAGAGCACAGCACCAGTCTGTGCCTCCTGGTGGCTGGGCTGGGTACGTTCACTGCTGCCAGGTCCCCTGAGCCCTCGTCTCCTTGTAGGTGGAGTGCTGCCTGCTTACTTGGCCTTGTAGATTACTGTGTACCTTAGCTAGGAGCGCAGGCAGGTAAAGCGATGGAGTCAGGGTCCATCTGGTTCCCAGCAAGTCCCTCCACATGGCGAGGCACCTGGCACTTGGCAGATGCTCCCGGATGTTGGATGGGCAAGGAGGTGAAAAGGCTCTCCAGCTGCTGGTCCTCAGTGGCTCTCATCCCAGGTCTGCCTACGCAGGAGATTGTCAGAAACAGGAAGGGGGGGTCTGTCTGTCTTCTGGGGAAAGTCCACTTGTCCCTCTCCAACTTAGGTCTCCTCCCATGGCTCACAGGGTCTCAGTAAAGAGGACCTGTCCCCACCAGCCATGCAGAACCCTGATCGGCATGCAGGGCACAAGTGTGACAGATGCATCAGGAACCAATCAGAGCAGAACAGCAGAACCCTGGCTGTCTACAGACCCCAACTTCAATAGCAAGACTATGGAGCTACACAAACCTGTGTTAAAATGTGTAATTTCCATGGATTTCATCTCCTGTTGTGGATCAATTTGGCAAAACCAAAATATATAATTTTAAAACACTAAAACACATTCTGATAATCCCAGTGATGTGTAAATGAGAGAATAGACAGGCTTCCAAACCCTGGGAAGAAAGCTGCTTAATTATGTGAACATTTTATAATGAAGCCTCTTGCAGCTAAAATTAGATTTTGACTGCATGAATATGCGATAATGTTTGCACATCAGAATGCATTTTTCCCCTTAAAAGTAGCAAGAGCTGCTTGGTTCTTAGGGGGCCCCAAGAAGTGAGGAAGAAGGGCTGATGTCGATCTTGTGGCTGCAAGAATTCTTGGGGCACAGGTTTGTTTTCTTTGGACTCACTTGGAAACTCATTGGAGATGTTTGAAATTCGACGACTCCAAAGGGCCTTATTTAGGTTTAGGGAGAAATTGATTGGTCTGATCTCATATCGATCACCACTCAATATTGGGTGTGTTGGCCTGAAAGAGGCAGCAGTAATGTGAAGTGGGGATGATATGGAGTCCTCGGAGGATAGCCAGCTGTGGCCCTAGCTCTATTCTGCTGTCATCTTGCGCAAGGCCTTTCCCATCTCTGGTTTTGGTCTCCCATCCATAATAACATCGGGGCCGTGGTGGATGTGTTTGGTTGTATCCCCAACATCCACTCGCCCATTTCTTTTTCCAACAGCCCCTCATTTTGGTTCGGGGATTCTTACGATCTGCCAGGGCTGCCTCCGTCCTCACCCCCAGGGGTGGAACACATGCCCTGGGCTAAGCCGACCACACATTCCATCTCTCTGGCTACAGTGATGGGTTCAGGTGTGATCATGATCACTGAGGCAATGCAGCGTGAGGGCAGTTCAAGACTTCCTTGGAATGTTGGGTAGAAACTCTTAACTCCCCTGCGGGGTAGATGTAGAGGAGAAAGGAGGTAGCCCTGGGTCTTGATGGCAGCCACTCCGGAATCATGACCAGGATCACTCAGCGTGAATCCAACACCAGTGAAGGGAGAGTCGAGAGGCAGGAAGCCATCAGGTCCTTGGGGACACTGTTCAAGTACAGGGTCAAGCTTTGCCTGAGATTGGCCCTACCTCTGGACTTTTTTGTTACATGAGCTAATAAATTCTCTTGATTGTTTAAGTTGGGTTGAGTTGGGTTTCTTTTACTTACAACTCAGAGCGTGGTGCAAAGGGCTTGAGTTGAAAGGCCTTGGGGCTCTGATATTCTCTGTCTCTGTGGCTGATGTAGATAAAACCTGAAACTCAGACCAGCATGATCTGGTAGCACTGGGAGGTGACTTTTCACAGGAATGGAGCTGGGTGTGAAATGCTCAGTAGGAAGCTGTCTGTGCTCAGTCAGCCGAGAGGAGCTGCATTTTTAAGTCAGTATTTGGTGAGGTCACCCAGATAGCCTTAGAAAATAATTGCTTTTGGGTGCCAAACCCAATCTATAAGTTGTCTCATTTAATCCTTAATCAACCCTTTGGTGTGGTTATTATTTAATTACTATCTCCACTTGGCAAGTGAGAGGATCGAGATTCCAATCTGTAATGGTGGTAAAAGCAGGATCCTTTTCTGTTTACCATAACTCCTTTCATGGAGTATTCAATGTGGTGTTGGAGGGAATTCTTTGATAAACTACTTGGATTGGGGGTGAGATCCCCTCCAAGAAACATGCTTGAGTAATGGCAGAAAGACAGTAAACTCCTTTCTAAGGAGGGTAGGTATGGTTAACCCTTTTGCTAAGTGGGACATGCAAGCTTGAGGCAGAGCAGAATTGCTGCTGTTGGAGGATAGGTGGGAGATGCCACAGAGAATTCCCTCCTCTGTCCTCCTCTCTTTAACCCTCCTGTGTGCCAGAAATGGGATGGACAAAGGGAGTTACCTGTGACACCTATCTTCAGACTCCACTTGGAATGTCTGACTATTATACAGTATTTCAGGATGAAGATCTGTGCAAAACATAGAAAAAGGCCAGGATCCCAGGAAATCGATGTGCATACATTTATCCACAGTGCTGTCTTTGCTACTGAAGATAGATTTGGGGCCCTTCCTGAGAAACATTGCAGAAATTCAGGTCCCTGCCATGGAAAATATGAGCAGATCCAGCCTAAATTATAAGCATAATTGCTTAAATCAAAAGAAGAATCTTGATGTCAAGCACAAATGAAAAGAATTCCAGTTGATGTTGTAAGCATAAGCTTGAGCTGAATTCATTAACTTTCCAAGGTGTCTTCGGTATGTAAGACATTCTTTGCAGGTTCAGACATCAGCAGTGACAGATCCATGGCTTGAAGGTGTGGCCAATGGTGATCAATAATAGTAAACAGCGTTCTTAGGGTCACAGAGGCTCTTGGACATCATCCCTCATGTGCCTCTGTGACGTGGACATTATGATTCCGGGTAGGGGGGAGAGAAAATTTAGTTTCTGAGTTTGAGTTGGCCAAAGTCTAATCCCTTTTTTTCTACGGAAGAGAAAAAAGAGACTGGGACTGGGGCAAGGTCTCGTATGAGGTTGTGCTGTGACGATGAGTGGTGGCACTGGGATGGGAATGTGGGCTCTTTCCACTAAACCACCAGATTGACCCCCGCACTACATCCCTAGTGTTTTTCAACAAGTTGCCGGAAATGAGACAAGTGTGCACATACGGCTCATTTGGAAGTGAGTTCATTAATTTCACTGCTAATTCTTTGCCAAAATATTGTCTGGTGGACACCCAAGTTCACTTTCAAGGACCATTTATCAAGCAACCCCAGTACTTGAAATCCCACGCAAAGGAAGCATCCCTTTCTGAAGAAGGGAGGTCCAGATGGACCATAACTTGCCATGACATAGGAGCCCAGAGTGTTCATTCTAAGTCATGAACACCCCAGGCAGCAGAAAAGTCCTGTTACTGTAAGATATTAATAAGCAAGCATCTTTGGTAGGCTTGAGCCCAGCAGTGTGTATGCATGTGTGTGTGTGTGTGTGTGTGT